CCAAAAGTAGCTAAATCCCGTGTGCACCGGATACTAAGATTAAATCAATATATTTTTAACCATCATACAACATTTCAAGGAGTTTGGTGCATACTTTTGAAGAAACCTGTACCAAACTAGCACACTGTCACAAAAGATCCGTCAAAGGTACGAGAAATTAAACAACTGGTTTTTAAAAACATTAGGCTCTAAATTTACATTTCATGTGTCTTATATAATTTACAAATTGTCTATTTAAATGAAAAAGAATTTAGAGTATGCGTTTATTTTGAGAAATTTTGAACTTTTGTCCCGAAATAGCTGCATTTTGCCAGTCGATATGTCACATGTCCCCTTAAAATGTTTTTAGTTCGGCATGCACGTGCCTAAATTATAATATTTATTTGGCCAATTTATAATTTATTTATTATGGCCTTGACTAAATTATCTCTTACTTAGGTTGTGAACCACTTGTTAAATTACTTGCATCACAACTTTGCATACACATAAAATAACATTATGTACCTAATTTGTTGTTGTTCTTGTTGTATCAAACAAATATTGGTCAATAAATATAGCACCATAAGCAGAAAATGAGAATTTTACCATATTTTACATTAACTTTGTCTTTCCGCTTGCAAGCAATCAGCCACTTGTTGATGAGATCAGGATTATTTGGAAAGGAAAAATATCTAATGCCTGTTCCTTTGGTCTTTCGGTTTGTATTCGAGCATCCGTATACTGCACAACTAGGCATTTTACAATTCGTGCCTTAATTTGACACAAACAATGGAACAGAGCATAACATATTGTGACACACACAACTCGATCAAGAATTAAAGCGCTGTTTTGTTTATGCAGATCCTATCGAATAGCAGGGAAATGCCGAAAAATTAACCTTTCATTTCACTTCGTTATCTAGAAAACGCCGCATTGCAATACTTTAGTCATTCTCTCTCTCTCTTTTTGTTTTCCCAAGAAAATTCCAAAGAAAAGTATTAAAGAGAGAATATAAGACCTTTACTGCGCTTAGGAAACTTTTCTGGGTCAAAAATAAGAATTTTAAATCATCAAAATGAATCTGGGATCCTCTACCGTTGTAAATGTTTGTAGCAAACGCTGCAAGATACAATAATCTGAGAATTTGAACGCTGTTGATCTAATTAATCTTTTTAAAAAAACTGGATGTCTCTATCAATTTCATATTCATGATTTCAAACGAATTAATATATTGAATGTACTTTTAATTAATTTAAATTTTTAAAGCTATGTTTTATTTTTAATAAAAGTATCTTATGCAATACAACTTGTGATGTAATGTTTAACTATTTTAATCTATGTTATAAATTTAACTTTTCTTTCTTTTTTCTTTGCGTTTTTATATTAGGCACTGCAGTCTGTTGCTGCTGCATAGCTGGGGTGTGAGCAAACTCGACTCGACTGTTGATTGAAATTTAAGGTCATTCCTCGAACGGTGTTGGTAAAAAGATAAGGTTATGTTTGTGATTTTGCAGATTAGTCGTAAAAATACATAGGTTTAAATTCGTGTTTTATAAATCCACTATTACACTGTTAATATTAGCTGAATTACTATTTTCGAAACAAATAATTTTCCAAAATGGCCAGTGGAAGAGTGGGCGATTTGAGTGAAGAACAATTAAATGCGCTTGATAGTGTGAGTATAACCATATAATTCATAACATACTCTTTAATTTGTAAAATACTCTTTAATTTTGTAAAATACTCTTTAATTTTGTAAAATACTATTTAATTTCTGTATGTGTGATATACGGTATCTGCAAATTTGTTCAAATCTCATTTTTATAGAATCCATTACGTAAATTATAAACTGCGTTTTCGTAGCAGTTACTTTCCAAAAATTTGTTTTCATACTTCTCTATAGTATCCCCAAAACTTTTAAATTATTTATATTAAGGATTTTTCTAATAAAAGTGTTCTGTTATTAAATTGGTCAGTTACAATATAAGTTGCTCAATGCTTATGCATGCATTCATTTTTAATAAAAATTAGAACTGTAATTTTTATGCGATTTCACAACTTTTAATAAATATACCAATATCTTTCGTTTAATGATCAGGACCTGAGGTTGGCTAAAGTGCAGAATCGCCCACTTATTTGTTTGGCACTTTTTCCAAGAGTAAGAATTGAATTAGATTTCAATTGTCTTTGACTTTTAAGTGAAATAGGTCTACGTGTACACGGATAAAGTCAAGGGAGTGCGCAATGCCATTTTTATGCAATTCTGAGATTTTTTTTTAAGTGAAAATAGTCGATGTGTACATGGATACCGAGTATGTGCAATTCTTAAAAACGTGCCAAGCAGTGGGCGATTCTGCACTTTTCCCCTGAGGTTTTAGGGGCTCCAGCATCGTTTCTGTAGTACCCCATAATCCTGTTTTTCTCCTTATAAAGGAAAGGAAGGGAGCACTGGGATTCCCTAAAAGAAGGCTGGGTAAAATGGGTGCAGTCTCCAGATAAAATTAATTGGCTCAGCAGATGAACTGAATGTTTTGAAGCATTTAGTTGATTTTAAATTCAAGGAAAATGCTGTGAAGTGCTACATTCATTTCCGGTTAGTCTTTGGATTATGGTAACTTGGCTATTTTTTGGTGACCAACCCTGCTACAGTAACCTGCTAGTTTTTGTTTGGACGCCATTGTGTTTTCACGAAGTAAAGGCACGTTTTTTTTTTTTTTTTTTAAACTCGACATTTTTTTCAACAATCTGTTAGCCGAATTACGCTTATGCTAGAACTTTTATGGAAAAGTGCTTAACCCGGCGAAAGTCGCACCAAGAAAAGTTACTAGAGTGGGCGCGTGGGGTATTACATACCTCAATATTTAAAATACAATAAAAATATTATTACTTAGTTTTAAAACTTTTTTTTTATGTTGTGTATTATAAATAAGTGAATAATAATTGGGTTTCAAAAAATTAATTTCCGAAATAATTTTAGAGTTAAAATTAAGATAAATGAAAATAATAAACATTATGCCTCTAAGTTTCATTGCATCTCTAATACACCATGCTTATTTTATTTCTTCACACTTTGAACGAAATACATTCGTGTGTGCTTGGCACAGAATGTTTTCACATTTTAAACATTGCATTCACGTTCTTCTGTCCTTGGCACGAAGGCAAAAAAATTAACACATCTTTCATACTTAGTTGTTTCGAATTTCATGAATTCGTTTTAATTCTTCATCGAAACTTCTGCTTTTGTTTTGCATGCAGTATGTCAATTTCTTGGAAAAGTATTAATCTCTAATCTTTGTTCAATACTTTTTTCATTAATTGTAATGCTAAGTCCTTCAAAAACAGACTTCTGTTTCTTGTTGGTGGATTAGCAGTTGAATGTAATATAATTCAAGCATTTATTACAGCAACATTCAGTGCGGGAAAGAAAATTACCATTGGCCACCTTCTTGTTATTCTGGCAATTGAATAATTGGCTGACATTTCATCTCCCATATCCACTGTTCCTTTAGTCATACTATTAAAACATATAATTCCTGATGTTTTATTTTCTCCAATAGTATCATCTATAAATTGGGGGTATGATCGTTATATAATGTTGAAAGCATAAGAACAGTTTTTCCTTTTTTAGGAACATCAGGAATTGATGTTTTATCTTTTTCGAAACCAAAACATTGTAGAAAATATTCTTAGTTTCATCGTCAGTTTCCGAAATGCAATCTTCATTACTTTCAAATATTTCTAATAAATCTCGCATGTGTTGCATCTCCAGTTCATAGGGACTCATTCCTTTTACCATAATGCAGTTAGAAATTTTTAAGAATTTAATTTCAAGTACTTTAAAATCACTTGCGAGTAGAAATATTTACTGTTACACTCTAGAAATAAATTTCTGAACTAAATATTCAGTCAGAAAAACACTTACACGGACAGGCACGTGGATGTGTCATACCCCAGTTCCAACAAAATACCGATAAATCTTTTTCTGAAACACACAGGCAAAGAAAAAGCGGTTCTGAAAGTCAACCACAACTAGAAACTCAGCTACTGAAAGCAGCACAGAATTTCAGTTTCACAAGTTAGGAATATTCCACTTTTATGTAGGGTTGGGGTATGATACACCCCACGCGCCTTCCCGCGGGTTAATCATGACGAAGATTAGGTGCAAAATTGGGGAGAAAGTGCAGAATCGCAAACTGCTTGCTGTGCTTTTAAGAATTGCACATATACGGTATCCATGTACACGTCGACCTATTTTCACTTAAAAAAACACCCCAGAATTGCACAAAAATGGCATTGCGCACACTCTTGACTTTATCCATGTGCACTGCTAAAGTCCTAGCTAGTAACCTTTATTGCCTTACAAAATGTCGCCAAACTACCATATTCCAAAGATTAGCCTCATTTCCTTCCATGTTCTTGTATCCTATTTTCTGACATATTGTAATTACCTTTGAATCAAGATTTTTAATTTTACTTTTTAAAATACTGCTTTTTTCTTTTTAAGATCATAGCGTTTTCATAATTATGCTTAATACTTTTGCTCATTTGTAATGAATGAAATTATAGTTCAACATAATACAGAGACTAATTTACTCTCTTGTTTCTTTAGAAAAAATTCATAGGCTATAAGTAGTTAATTATATTAATTTAAAATTAAACATTTTTATTAATTAGAATATTCAGAAAAATGTATCTTTCTGAATACATTGCAAAAGTGTTTTGCTGAATGTCTTTTTGTTATAGTTTCGTTCTTCAATGGAAGATATTTTAAGACCAGAGCATGATGATTACTTCTGTCTAAGGTGGCTTAGAGGTAAGTAAATATAATATTGTTGCATTTTTTTCTAACACCAGTTGTTATGTTATTTTCTTCTGTCACATTCATATGGGGTTTGTAGATTTGGAGTGAATAACGACTACAGCTCTTGATGAAATCCCGAAACACACTTTATTTACCAATATTAATCAGGACAGCTCCAAAACACTTTTACAATAGTCGAAGATCTACTATAAACATGCTGGAACAGCGCAATAAACTGAAAGTTGATCTGTCAGCACTATCCTTATCTTCAGGGCAGATGTTTTTATTTTATTCGTCTTATAATTCCTTACTAAATGTAGTATTTGATCTCTATGTACTCCGTCTTTGATATGATTTAAATTAAATTCCTCGTCATTATAAATATCACGAATACACATCAAATAGTTTTTCTGGTTGCAATTTTCTAAATTCGACTATTAATGTATGCTTTACATGCGCGCGTTGAAAGAAAATGTTTAATAAAGTAAACAAAAAAATATAAGTTTGTTTTTTTTTTTTTTTTTTTTTTTTTTGTAAATTTTGATACCCTTAGATCAGAATTGCTCTTTTTTCATAAATTACGTTTTCATTTTTTAATTAATAATTTCTGCATGCCATTATACCAGATTTAAACATGATCTATAACTGATTCTAAATTTGAGGTATGCGTAATGTATGTTTTACGCGATGCGCGCGTTGAAGAAATGTTTAATAAAGTAAACAAAAAATATTAAGTTTTTTTTTTTTTTTTTTTTTTTTTTTTTTTTTTTTTTTTGTAAATTTTGATACCCTTAGATCAGAATTGCTCTTTATTTCATAAATTACGTTTTCATATTTTTAATTTAATAATTTCTGCATGCCATTATACCAGATTTAAACATGATCTATAACTGATTCTAAATTTGAGTATGCGTAATGTATGTTTTACGCATGCGCGCGTTGAAAGAAATGTTTAATAAAGTAAACAAATAAATATTAAGTTTTTTTTTTTTTTTTTTTTTTTTTTTTTTAATTTTGATACACTTTAGATCAGAATTGCTCTTTATTTCATAAATTACGTTTTCATATTTTTAATTTAATAATTTCTGCATGCCATTATACCAGATTTAAACTGATGATCTATAATCCGGAAAAACCGATAATCCGGAATCGCCGAAGTCCCGACGAGTCCGGATTAAAGACCTTTGTCTGTATATATATACTATATGCTTTCCAGCAATTCTGAGGAATGGAAGGTACTGGAAATTTCTTGGCGTAAGCGAAAACTATATAAGACCAGAGAGAGCATTAGTTCTCAGTTTAGTTCAAAGTTTAGCTCAGAGTACTGAGCGATAACTATGTTAGCTTTGCTTTGAGTCTTCTGTTTAATGTTCTTACTAGTTTATAGTGATAACTGATGCTAAAGCAAAGTTTAAAGTTTATAAAATTAAACATTTTTAGCAATAGTAGCAATAGAAGCTCCCTGAGATAATATGTTGTGCATACATTGAAGACAATAAAGAGGTTTCAAACTTAACCAATTTATTAACAATATAAAAAAGAATAAAAGCACAAAAAAAAATAAACTTAAACAATATCAGAGTCTTAGAAAAGTATTATAACCATCAATCATTAAATAAATATTTTACCTGGTCTCCAAAATACTGGCATTCAATACAAACGGAAAATGTCCTAAACAGTAATTATGCAGTTTCAAATGAAATTGGCTACACTTTCAATAAGTCCATGCATTCAATGGTCAAAAAAAGCACCTGAAAATTTAAATTAAGTTCTTTGAAAGCACTTAAATCCGGCCTAACTCCACTTACTGTAGTTGAACACAAGGAATCATAGCTCAGTAAAACATCGCCGCTAACTTATTTTAAATGCCGCCTTCATGAAGAACATGGATGCCGCCCATGGCAGTCACTCATCATTGTAGACAGGAACCAAGGAATTTATTCCGGAAAAGTCAACTTGTAGACTGAACCAAGGAACTTTATTCTGGAAAAGGTCATCTTGTAGACTGGAACCAAGGAACTTACTCCGGGAAACAGTCATCTTGTGGACAGGAACCAAGGAACTTAGTCAGTGGACTGCACAAATCCTTCTAAAGGGGCTGGAAACTGCACACCCAAGTGCCAGGAAAGCAGGAACTAGAAGGGCTGAGCCAGAGCGACGCGAGATACTTATACCAGAAGTAGGCATGACGTCATCTCATGGCAACCAATCAGCTATCGGCACGATTCGGCCTTTCCAGATGACGTAACATCACATTTCGTTTTTGCATCTTAATTAGGTTGAAACAGTCCGTTCTCAACACAAACAGTGGCAGTAAGAAAAAGAAGTAGAAGTAACTACTATATTACATTAAAATAAGAACTAAACCTAATAAACATTTCAAGGAGGAGAGATGATGCAGTAAAAGGGGTTTACAATAAGTCATATTTTTCAACAAATGCCCCCCACATCATCATCTCCGACCTGAAATAAAAATGAACGCCAGTATTTTTACAAAAATTCAAAACAAGAATAAATAAATATCACAATTTCATTCAATTCAGAAATTTTTAAGAAAATTTTCGTTTGATAACATCTTATCCCATTATTCAAAATTTTACCATAACAAGAAAGTCCAACATGTTACAAAACAATGATACAAAGACATATGTATGATCATACATTCAATACTTTTACCCAGGGCCCTGGTCAATCATACAACATTCTACACTATACAATTTTTACATTTACCTAATACTCATCATAATATGACTTATAACATATTATTTTTCAGTTGAAACTAAACAAAACTCTTAATTTAAAATTAAATACACACAAAAACAAAGTTTCACAAGAAAATTGTTCCACAAAATCTTATCGTAAGGTTATGCTTAGTCAGCGGTTTTGTCATGGGATCAGCCAGATTATCTTTACTTGGAACATATTTTAAATCAAAAATTTCCCTGTTCAATAGATCACGAATGAAAAATAAGTTTCACATCTATATGTTTTGTCCTTGAGTTTTCAATTGGTGATTTTGTAAAACATATAGCAGCCATGTATATCGCAAACAATATTGGTTTTCGAAACATAGTTACTTACAATCTTAAACTGAATGCATTCATCCAAAATGTTTTTAAACCAAACTAATTCTTTTGCTGATTCAGTCATGGAGATAAATTCAGCCTCCATAGTAGACAAACTCACTCCCCTTTCTTTAAATGTACGCCAAGATACAGGTGATTCTCCCAACAAAGCTATTTGTCCACCAATAGACACCATATCATCCCTGCTTGAAGCAAAATCCGAATCTGAATATATATTGAGCTTCAGTTCCTTGCATACCAGTTTAAGTTTGTGCTGTCTGGTATTGGAAACGTATCCTAAAAGTTTAAGTAATCCTTCCCAGTGAAACTTACCAGGATTGCTTTGGAACTGAGAAAATATATTAACAGCATAAGCTATATCCGGACGAGTACGATTGCAAAGAACGAGAGGCATCCCAAAACATTTCTATAAGGATAATTCATCATTTCAGTCGTTTCTTCTTGTGTACTGGGACTTTGAGTATTTCACTCCTTTAACTATTGGAAGGAAGGTAATTTGTATTTTAAAAGACTTGAATCGATCAACTATGTCTTCTATATATAATTGCTGATGAATTAAAACACTATTGTTCTCATATTCAAATTCCACACCCAAAAGCTTTCTTGTTTTACCTAAAATTTTCAAATCAAAATGTGAATTCAGGACTTTTAATATCCTTTTGGCCTGAACTTCACTTTTTCCAAACACAACTATATCATCAACATAAACCAACAGAATGACAAAATCTTTAAAACGATAGACACAATTACACCACTCAAACTTGATAAACCCTAGGTTACATAGTGTTCTATCCAACTCGTAGTACCATAATCGCCCACTCTGATGCAAACCATACAAGGCTCTATCTAAACGACACACAAAAGTTTTCTTTATCTCGCTCTACAAAACCCTGAGGTTGGGACATGTAAATTTCCTCTGATAAAGGAGCGTAGAGATAGGCACTTTTTACGTCACATTGTATATTTGCCCATTCAAGGTGTGCAACTAAAAGGGAGAAAAAGAGCCTTATTACCGAAAAATTAACTACAGGAGAGTAGGTTTCATCATAGTTATCATATTTAATTTGCCGATAACCCTGAGCCACTAAACGAGCCTGGCCTTGGAACAGGTTTACGAAGCCAAGTTACTTGTCTCAATGTAGATTGAGTGTCAGTGCCAATGGGTGTAGAAGAAGGTACACTGGTATCGGTTCTTTCCTCTATTTCAGGAAAATAGCCAACTGGAGTATCAGTAGATTGGAACTCTACCCCTCTCTTCAGATTCCAAATCAGGAAGGGTGCCCAGTGCAGCTCCACTGCCAACTTTTCTGCATTCCAATTGACTCTTTAAAAGTAGCATTTAGGGTTTCTACTACCTTTTGCTCATTTTCCAACCAAATCTTGTACCCTTTTGTTCGTACACTGTATCCAATCAATCGGCCCTTCGTTGTTGCTTTGGATCAAGCTTAGAATTTCTTTTAGCCTTTGGAATTCCCACATAGGCAATCGTTCCAAATGCCTTAAGGTGACGTACTGATGGTTTCCGCTTAGTATACAATTTCGAATGGGGTTCTATCTTGGCCCTTATGACAAATTCTATTGAATGAATATGCAAAATACATTACTGCATCTGACCAAAATTCAGAACTCATTCCACTATCATGTAAGAATGCACGTACATTGTTGAGAGCTGTTTGATTTAATCTCTCACAAACTCCATTCTGTTTCGGAGTATATACGTCTGTAAATTCATGCTTTACACCATTTTTATTACAATATGACCTGAATTGTTCATTATCATATTCTCGCCCATTATCAGTCCTAAAGTATTTCAACTTAAGGTTCAAAGATCTTTCAGCACGTGCTATATGCCTTTCAAATACTTCAAACACCTGACTTTTCTCCACAATGGGGTACACTACCACATAACGAGAATATTCGTCAATA